CGGCCCTGGGGTCGTTTCCGTTAAGCCCCTCCCCCCTCCCCCCCCCCCAAAAAACAACACTGTCTAAACCAACTTCTCTTGACTTCTTTCCTTTCTCTCTTCTGCTCTCTACTTTCCTGTACACAATTTCTGCCAAACACCGACTGCGAATCCATCGATTCTGCGCTCATCACCGTCCGCTGCCATCAAACTCTCGTTACAGGCCGAACTTTGGTGTTCCTTTCTGTGCGCCAAACGCCGTCATTCCAGCTGCCCGGCCCGACACTGGGCTCCACAGTCGACTTTGGTGTTCTCAACCCGCCATCGCACCCGCTGCTTATCACAACTTTTTCTGGTGTTGAAGTCTGCGAAAAAAACACGGCGCTGCCCTGCGCTGCCCTGCGCTGCCCACCAGCCCCGTTTGCACGCCCACCACGACCACCCACCACCTGCGCCCTTCCGGCGACTATTGGACTTCTCTTGTATATTTGTTCCCGTAATTGTCATCGTCATTAGCAACAGTAGCAGCTTCATCACCATCATCGCCCGCATCTGCCACGCTCTTCGGCGACCCTATAGTAAGGCGAGGGCCTGCACCCGTTTCTCGTGTTCCGCCAGCCATGGATGGGGAGGATGCTTCTTCGCCTGGCAGCTTAAGCTCGCCTCCGCACTCGCCCGACCAGGGCAACACACCGAGTACCAACGTCCGCGCATCTGCAGGTGGTGTTGGTGTTGGAGCCGCAAGCGCTAGCACCCCCACCCCTGCCACTGGATCGCCAGCGCCACGAGGCTTGACAGCATCTGGTCAACCACGTAAGAAGCCCGGCCCGAAGCCCAAGCCCAGAGATGCAACCCTCCCAGACTCTATAGAGAAAAAGGTTAGGAAACCCAGGAAGCCTGCAGAGCCCAAAGATCCCAATGCAGCCCCCGTCCAGCGTAAGAGGAGGACCAAGGCTTCGCTCGAGGCACAAGCAGCAGTAGCACCATCACCACCACCACCACCACCACCACCACAACAACAACAACAACAACAACAACAACAACAACAGCAACAACAGCACCAACAACAGCACCAGCAACAGCTCGAACATGTCAAGCCGCCGGTGCAGCAGTCGCCTACACCACAGCCGCAATCAAGACCCAACGAGCCAGTCTCCATGCTCAAGTCCGAGCCGCCACCGCCCACCGTCAACCAAACCTCGCACGTCTTGAGCAACCCTGAGCCGGCAATTCATAGCAACCCCAACTTGTTCCACATCAATGCTGCACCCTCAACACCCCGTCCTTCGAGCTCGGGCCAACGATATGACCCTATTCGAGGTGGAATCATCGAGTCAAAGCCCCAGGCACCTGCAAACGTAGCACCCCCACCGGTTTCCCCCCCGCTAAACCGGGCGAGTGCGTCACCTTCGATTACGAGTCTGATTGACCCTCCCTCGGCGACCAACTCATTCTACACGCCTCCCGTGAAGCTTCAACAACAGTCGTCCATTACCTCTGCACCTGCCTCGCCTGCTGGTTTCTCGACGCGTCCTGGGTCGATCCTTCCGTTACAGGATATCCCACCTCACCCTCAACAGCACGTCTCTCCACAACTTCACCTGCCCTCGCAGCCTCAAAATCACCACCCACAGCAGTATGCTAGCATGCTAGAGACAACACCCATGGAAATCGATCCTGATCCAAGCAAACCCATGTCGGTGCCCATGACCAAGTCGAGCTCGGCCCACTCCGGCACACCCACCCACTCAAACGCGCCTACGCCACCTGCAAAACCGGTTCGGCAGAAAGAGGCCCCACCACCACTACCCAGTGGCAGCGGCCTCTTGTCCGGGACCGCATTTGGCCCTATGGCGAGTGGAAAGGAAACATCGGAGAATCAAGGCACCAACATCTACCTCACGTTTGTCTTGAAGGGCCGCGAAAATGTCACCATCAACTTTGCTCAAGAAGTCGAGAAGAAGTACGGGTTCGCCGCTTTGCATCCCCGAATTGCAGCGCGCCGTGAGCGTCAACGCCAAATCACAGCGGCCGGTGCGGCTTTGGAAAAAACGGCGGGTGGCGGATCCAACGATGACATGTCATTGGACTTGTCGGAGAATGAGAGCAACGTGGAGATGGGTGGCATGGATGATGAGACTTCGGCCCGTGAGAACGGCGGGAAGAAGCGGCGGAAGAGAAAGCAAGAGGACTATGACAAGGAGGATGATTTCATCGACGATACTGAGCTTGCCTGGGAGCAACAGGCGCTCATGGCCAAGGATGGCTTTTTCGTCTACAGTGGCCCTCTTGTCACCGAAGAGAAGCCCACTGTGGAAAGGTCAGTGACGGTCTGTGCTCTTTTTTTTTTGAAACAAGTACTGACCAACAACAGAGCCGATGGTACTGTTAGACGCGGACGAGGTCGCGGTCGCGGTGGTGCAGTGCGCGGCGAAACCACAGGACGAGGCCGTGGACGTGGCGGCGGTCCGGGATCTCGTGGTGGCACCACAGTTCGGAAACCTCGCGTCACTAAGGCTGACCGTGCTATGATGGAGCAGGAGAAGCAACAACGCGAGAGCATGGCCGCAAACATTGCTTCGAAACAACCCGTGACAGCCTATGCGGGCCCTCAGAATGCCTCCTAGGCCGGGACGCGAGAGCAGCAGCATTACGAAGGCATGATGACCGCCCATACATCATCACGAGCATATCAGTCACCAACTTTTCACGCGCCCTTGTAAGGCGCTTTGTTTGCTTTCAGAGCTTCAGATGTGATTTCTTTTCCTTGCACAGTACACTTCTCCTTGTCTCAAAAATTCCGTCCTTCTTCGAGGCCTTTCACCACATTCGTGTTGGCGGCAGACTGTTTTTCTTTTGTATAACAACACTTTTCATGCATGCATGCTACCTGGCGCCTACGAGGGCAGGCGTAGCTCATTACTCTACTGTCTTCACAAAGAGGCAGATATTTCCTCTTGACATCGGGCGTTTCAGGCAAGCCTTTTTCTAGATGCACGGCGTATATAGTGCTATGAGACGGTTTTCTTCTTCTTATTACCATTACATCTACTCTGTTATTGTGATTATTGTAACAAATCGTCTGTCTATTCAGGCTGGGTCTTGCGACCTGGTGAGCCCAAGCTATTGTCCTGGCAGGCAGAGCGTTTGTCCCGCGCATGGGCGGTGAATCCGCATTCACTTCACCAGACAATAGGAGCGCTCTTTCCTTCTCCCCCCTCCCCACCCCCCGCTTACGCTCACCGTGCGGTTCACTACAAGAAAAGGTTTTCTGACAAGTTGGACTCTTCCTTTTTTATCGACACTCTTCTTTGATTAACAGCTTGTATTACAACACCAATACCCATCATCTACTCAGTTTCAGTTTGAGTCATCATTCAATCAGTTGGACACAGCCCGCTTCACAACGACACCTTTTCGCCCCAACTACAACCAGCTTTCTTGCCTTGCTTCACATTGGCGTCTTTGCCCCAAGCATCCTCTTCTCACTCCCATCACACCATGTCGTCTGCCACTCGCAAGCCCATGTTCGCAGCAGCAGCAGCCATGGATCTCAGCGCCTGGTCCCAAAACTTCTACAACGGCACCTTCACGTGGGATGGCCAGGGCTTCACGGACGACCATGGTGGTAAGTGACTACATCGATACGATCTACAGCTAGCGAATCGAGAGACTGACTTTTGGCCAAGTGTATCGCGAGTTTGATGCTTGTGACCCGCTGGCGCGTGCGCCGACGCCGTTGCCCTCGGTTTTTGAGAGCGAAGGGGAGAGTGGGGTGCTGAATTTGCAGGGTGTTGGTGATGGTGTGGCATCTGTCGGTTCTGATGGCCATGGTAGAGGACAAGATGTGCTGGGACTGGGCTTTGAAGATTGGTCAAAAGTCAAGGCCATTTCAGATGAGGGTCGTTCTTTCTCTTCCGTCTCGGATGCCGAGCCTGCTATCGAGGCGGCTAAGATGCGCAACGATTCGATCATCTCGAGCGGAATCGAAAAAAAGGTCGTCGGTGAGAAGATCAAGGGCGATCATGACGAAGCCCAGGTGTAAGTTGATCTGATCCCTCCTGCCTGCTTTACTTGGGTTTGTGGAGAGTACCTTCCCTGTTTGTACTGCTCGAGGAGAGTGGCATGAAGCGAACCCCACACCAAAGAAGTCCAAGACGATGGATTGCTAACTTTGGACATAGACCGGACATCAGTAAGCCAACCCAAAATGTCGGTCCGGTATCTTCAGATCTTCCCCAACCCACTGCAGTGGCGAAAGAGGCTGGAAAGAAACCGACCGTCTCTCCTCCCAAGGCAAAACAGACTGGAGTTCTGGGTAAGAGCAAGGGAAAGGCTCCAGTCAAGCGTAAAGAGCCCAACGTCTTTGCGACCCCTAGCTCAGGTAGAATCAAGCTGAAGCGCAGTAAGTTGTCAGCATGGCCATGTCAAGGCCTACCAACTAACGGACTGAACAGAGCTCTCGACCTCGCCCAAGAGAGAGTTTACATGGAATGCGTCTGTTTCCCAACCGAGTGGCACGAATATCCCCTTTTTGGGCATGAAAAAGGGAACGCTTGCGGTCAAGAAGCCTACTGTGCCCGACGTGTCCGCCACAGCCAGCCCAGGCAAGATGACCCAGAAACGCAGTACGTTCCCTGGATTGCCACATCAAGGACTACCAACTAATTCGATATACACAGGGTACTCGTCAGCCTCACCAAACACGGTGTTCGAACTCAGCCCAAAGTCGTCCTCGACCTCTGGCTTTTCCGACTGCCCATCCAACCTCTCCGATGCAAGTGCAGGAGAATGCGTAAGCAATAACAGTCACCGTGATCATTACCATGCACATGAATATCTAACATGACCCCTCCAGGCAAACACGACCGCCGCATCCCCCAGCAAGAAACCCAGACTCTCCCCCAAGTCACCCAACATCTACGCCAGCAGCCCCGAGCCCACCACCCCGTCGCCCAAACGCAAGGGTGTCGCGCAAGTCGTTGGCCGCAAAGCCAAGACCGACGATGGCAAGACCAATGCCGGGTCCAAGATGGCCCCGCCTCCACGAAGGGGTGTCGCGCAGGTGATTGTTCGCAAGAAGGAGGGGAAGGCGGCGGACAAGGGTTCTGCTGTGCAGACGGAAGGTGGGGCTGGGGAGCCGTCGTTGTTGGCGTTGCATGCGGATGGGTATGGGGTTGGTGGGGGTGAGAGGAGGAGGTCGACGAGGCGGGGAGGGGGTAGGGGGGGGGATGTGAGGTTTGGATGATGGATTCTTGGAGGATTGAGTCTAGAGATGAATTCTTGGTTCATCAAGAGTCTGAATGACGAATGCCATATTCCGAACAACTACCAATCAAGTCCAAATAACAGCCCAATCTACATGTACTATACATTCCCCCCTCCATTCAAGCCCACCTAATCTTCCCCCTCCACGCCTCAATCTTGGCCTCCCACCAACTCCGCCCCGGCGCCCTCTCAATCTCCCGCATCAAATTCTCATAATGCAGCGGCGCAGACACGGGCTTCAGCACCCCTGGCGAGAGCGGGTATTTCCTTGTATACCGGTTTTCGAGCAGCGAGAAGAGGGCGTTTAGGTGGGGGTGTTCGTGGGTTGGGGTTGCTGGGGCGCTGGGGGATGTGGAGGAGGGTTTTGGCGGGGAGGAGGAAGAGCTGGGGGGTGTGGATGGGGTGCTCGAGGAGCTGGGAGGGGAGACGCCGTAACGGGAGGCGCGGTGGAGGATTGCGGTTGTGAAGGGTTGGGTTGGGCGGAGGGCGTCTTTGGGCCAGAGGGTTAGGAGGCGGGTGTAGTTGTGGGCTATCTTTTTTGGGGGGGGGGGTGGTGGTGGGTAGTTTGGGGGGGAAGAGGAGGGGGTCCGGGGATTTGGGGGCCTTCCGTTTTGGGGGGCCCCCTTTTGGGTGGTGGGGGGGGGTGGGTGGGGGTATGTAGGGTGCGAAGTATAAAGACTAGATCGAACTAGAGGCATACTGGTAGGAGGCGGA